GTAAACGCTATAAATCCCATAAACCTTCTGAACCCTACAAACCCCATAAAGCCCGTAAACTCTATAAACCATACAAACCGTATAAACCCTATAAACCCTTGAATTCATGAAACCCCGTACACCCTCTAAACCCTAAAGCCTACAAGCCCTCTAAACCCCAAACCCCCGAAACCCCAAACCCGAAACCCCAAGCCCTAAACCCAAGCCCTAAACCCCCAAACCCTAAACCCCAAGCCCTAAACCCGGTGCCCTAAACCTAAACCCTAGACCCTAAACCCTAAACCCATTCGCCAGGAGGGACAGCAAGGCTCCGCGGCGCCTCCACCCCCGGAGGGCGAGGCCGAGGAAGCCCAAGGCAGCTGGTGGGCTTTAGGGTGGTAGGGTTTAGGGTTTAGGGTTTCGGGGTTTTAGAGTTTAGGAGTTTAGGGTTTCGGGGTTTTAGGGTTTAGGAGTTTAGGAGTTTAGGAATTTAGGAGTTTAGGGTTTAGGAGGTTAGGGGTTAGGGTTTAGGATTTAGGAGTTTAGGGTTTACAGGGCTTAGGGCTTAGGGCTTAGGAAGGCTTAGGGTTTAGGGTTTGGGGTTTAGAGTTCAGGGTTGAGCGTTTCATGAGTCATGGATCCTCCAGCGCGGTTATCCTGAACTCCATAGCAGCAACAGCCAAAGAAGATCTCTGAAGCCCTAAACCCCCCGAATGGCGGATGGTGTTCCGGTTTGCTGTTCTGAACCTGGGTCGCATCAGTTTCTCATCGAGATGCGGATGCTCTAAACCTAAAGCGCGCACCCGGATTTTCGGGGTGCCCCCCCCCCCCCCCCCCCCGGATTAATTACCCCGAAAAGTTTCACTGACTTCTAGGAAGCCTCAAGATACCCCATCTCTGAACCCTAAACCCTATTTTGGTGACCTCCATCTCCGTTGCGGAGGTTAGATCCACCATGGCCAGCTGGAGGTTGGAATTGGCGAAGGCGTCTTGTGATCAGGTTTTTTTAGGGTTAAGGGTTGGGATGTTCCCCCTTCTACTAGCAGTCCTGAATGTTGATTATAGTACCCCCCCGATTATAATCCCTATTAAGGACTGTTAGTAAAAGCAAAGCACATCCCACGTTTAGGGTTTATGAATGGTTCAGTGCCCTGGCTGGAAAGTTTGGAGGAGGAGGTTTTAGCGGTTTCGAAGAAAGTTCCGGGGAGTTCCAAGGAAAGTTTTGAGGAGTTTCTTTTCTGACTATTGAATAGTTTCAAGTTGCAGGGGCTTGAGATTTTAGGGCTTACCCTAAATCCTAAACCTTAAAACCTTAGGGTCAAGTACTATTGACTAATTTCAAGTTACAGGGGCTTGAGGTTTTTAGGGCTTACCCTAAATCCGAAACCCTAAACCTTAGCGTCAAGTTTAGAGTGTCATGTCAGGTTTTAGAGTGTTGGGCTGAATTATGGGATTCTGCTGATTCAAAGTCATGCTGGTGCCGGGCTTCTGTGACTCTCGACCTATCCCTGAACCCTAAACCCTAAACCCTGAACCCTAAACCCTAAACCCTGTTTGCTTTAACTTCACATCGCCACCTGAGTGGCACTTCAGGTTCAGGGCTAAAGCACGTCCAATACTGGGGTCGGAATAGTTACTACGAATATTTTCCCTTATAGGCCCGTTATAATGATACTACAACGACGGCCAGTACTTGTGGTTTGCCCGCGCTGTTGCTCCAGAGGCCCATTGCGACATGCAAAAACGTCGCCCCTGCCGAGGTTTCAGGACTCCGGAGGGCTTGACAGGACACGCAACTTCATGACGCGAACTCCGGAGTTGTTGGGGACGCGAGCCTGTGCCCGCGCGCTATAGGATCAAAAAAACCCCCTAAACCCTAAACCGTGTAACCCTACAAGCCCTAAATCCTAAAACCTCTAAACCCTAGAAACCCTAAACCCCTAAAACCCTTAAAACCCCACACCCTAAAACCCCAAATCCTGAAAACCCTAAACCCTTAAAGCATCTGAACCCTAAAAACCCTAAACCCTCAAAATTCTAAAGACCCTAAAAACTAAACCACAAACCCCAAAAACCCTGCAAACCCTAAACCCTAAAACCCCAAACCCTAAAAACCCTAAAGCCTAAAAAACCTAAACCCCAAAAACCCTTAACCCTAAACCCTTAAAGCATCTAAACCCTAAAACCTAAAACCCTAAAACCTTGAAGACCTAAAAACCCTAAAGACTCTAAAAACCCTAAACCCTAAAAACCCTAACCCTAAAACCCTAAACCCTAAAACCCCTAAACCCTAAAAAACCCTACACCCTAAACCCTAAACCTGGGCAGACCATATGAGCAACCAATGGGTGTGGGCAAACCACACGTGCTGCGGGTACAATGACCCCCCCCCCCCCCAAAAAAAAAAAAAACTATTCTAATAGTTAAGGCCCCTGTAGTACGTCTTGCAGGCTGGCATGAGTGAGTCCGATGGCTCGGACAATTCTTCGAAGCTACATGTTAGGGTTTAGGGTTAGTGTTTAGGGTAGCAAGTGTGGAAAAGCAGATGAGAAATGGAATGTGACTTCACCCGGGGGATTCAGGGGATGTAGTTGTTTTATGTTACGATGCCCCCGTAGCTTTTAGATTCCAACCTTTGAAGCCTCAGATCATTGTGTGGCACGTCACGGAAGGAAAGCTGCATAACAACATTGCCCTCACGACCTCGCACACCACTACTTATAGAACAAGAGTTCCCCTTTCAATCTTCGCAGGTCTCCCTTAGACGCGCACTGGCGCTGCCAGTTTGCTCGTGTTTCACTGCTCAGGAGCACGCTAGGCCAGCTTGCGCTTGAAATGCCCAGCTTGCGGTGATAGTACAATGACGGCGGCTATGCGGCTAGCAACAGTAAACATTGCTATGCGGCTGAGCTTTGACAACGGCCATTCCTGCTGTTGCGACGCTAAACCCAAACAAACTGAAATTAAACTGACCTAACCGACAGCAACGACGACGGCCACGACGACGACGACGACGAAGACGACGAAGAAGACGAAGACGACGACGAAGACGAAGACGATGACGAAGACGAAGACACTACTGCTACAACTGCTGCTACTGCTGCTACTACTGCCACGGCTGCTGCTACTGCTACTACTGCTACTACTGCTACTATTGCTACTATTGCTACTATTGCTACTATTGCGATTATTTGCTACTATTGCTACTCCTACTACTCCTACTACTACTACTACTACTACTACTACTCCTCCTCCTGCTCCTCCTCCTCCTCCTCCTCCTACGACTACTTACTACTACTACTACTACTACTACTACTACTACTACTACTACTACTACTACTACTACTACTACTACTACTACTACTACTACTACTACTGCTGCCATTACTTCTACTCCACCTCCGCCTCCCTCTGCCGTTCTTGCACACTTCAAGCTTTTCACAGTCCTCAGTCCACCAGAACCGCCGGGGGCCCTGCTTACAACTTGGGTATGTAGCCACGAGTGCCAAGGTCAAAAAACTTGGTGCCAATCTCGCGGGTCGCCGAAAATGTCGGCAATATGAGTAGGGTTGGCTTGCTACTCCGCCACTCTGTTCAAGAAGCAGTAAGCGGCACTGCTCTTGACCCAGCTCCTCTGCAAAGCAGTTGTTCGTGTGTAAAAGTGGGTAGTGCGTAGACTTGGCACATTCATCCTTCCACGTCCATCCCCACCTTCCATTCCTTTCCCTTAACCTCTGTCACCCGGACCCTAAAACTTATACTACCAACCCCCAAACCCTAAAAATCACTTGGGCGTTCCCGTCCCGATTGCCCCGCAGCCACCGAGCGGGAGAGCGAAAGCTGGCTAGCAGTTGGTTTGGAAAGACGTGGCACCGGCCAAGCGACGACGAAAACTTGCTTTTTCAGGAGCTTAGGGCTTCTCAGGGTTTAGGGGCTGAGGACTTTTTTAAGGTTTGAGGCTTTGAGGGGTTTTAGGCCTTAGGGTTTTAGGGGGTTTTCAGGGTTTTTACTTTTTTTTGTTTTACGGTTTTTAGGGCTTGAGGGTTTTAAGTTTTTTTTTTTTTTTTTCGGGGGGGGGGGGGTTAGGGTTAAGGGGTGTTGCAGCTTCAGGGTTTTGGAAGTCGGGCTGAGGCTTCAGAGGGCCGGGTTCGCGCTCTACATCCCTCAGGCTATTAACTGCCCGGCCCTTACCGAACTGCAATTTTTGGTCACATCGTTCACCCTAGGGCCAAGCCCAACACGAGAACCTAAAAAGAGAGGCGGCGTCTCTACAGGCATCAACCTCCTAAGGTGTGGTGTAGGGCTGCCGGCTGCACTAAAACCCTCAACCCCAGAGTTTAAGCATAGCCGGCTCGACTGGTAGGCTACAAAGGAACTCGGCATGGAACCTTGCAGGCCAGGCTGAAACCTCTAAGCCCTAAGCCCTAAGCCCCTTCATCCCTAAACCCTAGATCCCCCGACCCCGAAAGCTCTAAACCCAAAACCCTATAGACCCTAAACCCCAAATCTGTACTTCGCAACCCGGCCTCCAGAGTGAAGGTCCAAGAGCGCAGAAGAGCTTCAGGAGCCCTCAGCCCAAGCACAACAACCCACGACCAGCAGCCTAAAACCGAAACATGTTAGTGTTTAGGGTTTCGGGTTTAGGGTTTAGGGTTTCGGGTTTAGGGTTTAGGGCCCAACGCAAACCCTGTCCTCCAAGTCAACCCTAAGCTTTGAACCACGCAAGGCCGTAGCTTCAACGCTGAGCCCAGCAAAACCGGAAACCACAAATCCCAACCGGTTGAAGCCCTGTAGGGTTTAGGGTTTAGGGTTTAGGGTTTAGGGTTTAGGGTTTAGGGTTTAGGGTTTAGGGTTTAGGGTTTAGGGTTTAGGGTTTAGGGTTTAGGACCCAAGGCCCTAGACCTTCAAAGCCCCAAGCCTTTCACCTTCACCCCCCCCCTCCGGCCCCCCCACACACCCAACCCCCCAACCCCCCCCTCCAACCGAAGAAGCGGTGATGCCATGTGGCCTGACGCAGGGCCATGCCGAAGGCTTTCGGTCGGGGTTTAGGGGTTAGGGTTTAGGGTTTAGGGTTTGGGGTTTAGGGTTCAGGGATTACGGTTTAGGTTTAGGATTTAGGGTTTAGGGTTTGGGATTTAGGGCTTGGGGTTTAGGCTTTCGGGTTTCGTGTTTAGGGGCTACGAGAATGGGCTTTAAGGGTATCAAAGTTTCCGGTTCAAGGCTTGTGTGCTCAACCCTGCAGACTACTTGGGCCCTCAAAGTACGCATACACCAAAGCAAAGTGTATGCAGTCATTTCTGGGCATTTGTGAGCTCCGAGCCCTCATCGACCCCGAAGACCGCAACACTCCCTAGACTAAACATGGAAGCTTACTTGCAACCCAAAACCCAAAACCCGGTTAGGGTTTATGGTTTAGGGTTCAACAGTCTTGTTTAGGGCTTAGGGTCCCCTACTTGTGGTCCCTGGGAAGGTCTCGTTGTCTGCAGCGCGAGCACGCGACGGTGAGATCTTGGAGAAGCTGGGCAAAGTCCAGAAGGCCGGGTTTGGTGGTGTGGAGGTTTAGGGTCTACAGGAAGTTAGATGAAAGTCCAAGCTGCTTCCCTAAACCCCCAAACCAAACGCGAAACCCTAGACCCTGGCTAAGGATAGTTTATATTTTTACCGGGGCCACAACAATGATGCCTTCAATTCCGGGCCTACTAAATGAAGCCTTAATCGCCAGACTCTATAAACCCTGCGACTTAGGTGACAAGCATGTAAGCTTTAAACCCTAAACCCTAAACCCTCAACCCCTTAACCCCCTACCCCCCTAACCCCCTGAACCTCCTGCAATAACCAAAAGGTAGCCGTTCTTTCGTTGGCTCATTCAACCTTTAAGGCGGGGCTCCAGTAGATACATACCTTATTCCCCTTGTCTCATGCCCCTTGTTTTAGGGTTTCGGGTTTAGGGTCTAGGATTGGTTTGCAGTTTGTTGGCTTGGCTTAGGCTAGGGTAGGGCTTCCGGTTTTGGGGTGCCCAAGCCATAAGTCCGACTTCACCTAAACCTTACTGCCACATCAGCATAAATCCCCCAAAATCTCCTCAACACTAGGACCAGAACCCCCAAACCCTAGCCCCTGAACCCTGTACTGAAACCCTAAACCCTAAACCCTAAACCCTAAACCCTACTTTTGTTGCGGCTCATGCCTTGCAGGCCGCTGAGAGCCACAAGCAGCAAACAAAGCTCCACCAACAGCGCCACGAGTGGATCGAGCAGGCGCCCTGAGAGTCCAGACCGGAAGTTTTTTTTTGGTGCCAAGAGCCCGGGGTCCCAAACCCTAAACCCGAAACCCTAAACCCTAAACCCTAAACCCTAAACCCTTTCATGTGAGGCCAGGGGCTTGCAGCGCGAGGCGCGACGACTGGAGGCCGGCGGGAATTTAAGGGTTGGGGATGAGGATTTATTGCTGAGGGTCTGGGGTTTAGGGTGTGGGGTTTAGGGTTTAGGGTTTAGGGTTGGGGTTTAGGGTTTGGGGTTTAGGGTTTGGGGTTTAGGGTTTTGGGTGTGGGGTTTAGGGTTTAGGGTTCAGAAGGTTTAGGGCACCGATGTTGGGGCTTTGGTTGCTTCGAGGGGAGGGGGTTTCGGCTCGGGTTCGAAGCTTGATCGCAGCCCTAAACCCTGAACTTGCCCTAAACCCTAAACCCAAACCCTAAATCCAAAACCCTAAACCCTATGAACCCTCAAAGCGAAGGGGGTGGGCCGCCAGTTCAACGAAACACTTAGAGGCCCAGACATAGCCATGCCCATCAGTACCTAAATCCACTGGAGCCCCAAACGGCTTGGGGCGTTCGGATTCAGGGTTGAGGGTTTTAGGGTTTTAGGGTTTTTGGGTTTTTGGGTTTTTGGGTTTTAGGGTTTTAGGGTTTTAGGGTTTTTTGGGTTTTTGGGTTTTTGGGTTTTTGGGTGTTAGGGTTTTTAGGGCAAACCCGATACGCCACGGGCTCGAGCTGAGAACAACCTAGTTTCCGTTTGTTTTCCCATCCATTCTCTGCGTTTTGTTCTCTGAAGGCTTAGGGTTTATTGTTTAGTGTGGAGAAACGTCAGTAGGCACACCCACATGACGGAGAAGATCCTTCATTTTCGGGCAGACTATCCTAAGGGGTCGAGGCAAAATAGATTCCGTTGAGGAGTTGCTAGGGACCCCGAGAAGAAACCCTTAAGCCCTGAACCCTAATAAGCCCTAAACCTCGAACCCTAACCCCTGAAACCCGAAACCCTAAACCCTGAACCCTAAACCCTAAACCCCAAACCCTAAACCCTAACCCCAAACCCTAAACCCCAAACCAAACCCTAAACCCTGAGCCCTAAGCACGCGGTCAGGATGAGCTTACGACCGCCACGGTCGAGCTTGGGCTTTGGCCGGGGACGTAATCTATCCCCTCGCAGGGTTTAGGGGTTCACGGTTTAGGACCAGTAGAAACCATGTAAGAATCAGCTCATGAAGAATTGTCTTTAGGTCTTGAGGGTCACAGAAAAGTTCGAGGTCGAGGGATCCGAAAGAGCCGGCTTTGCACGGCTTATTTAGTTCAAGGCGAGGGGGTGGGGTAGTAGCCCCCCTTGTTTGGTAACTTGGCCTTGTCAGGTATGCCCGTTTGAGGCCTTGATTTCATCGGCATCCTATTCCTATCACAGGACAACATCTTGCTAAGAGCTGACTGCAGAACAAAGTACCCAGACACGAAACCTGAAGCCGTCAACCTCGCACCCTGAGCCCTTTCGCTGCAGCCCTCAGAGGGCAGCCCCTGGTGCCATGCAGACCCACCTGCAACCCGAAACCCAAAATGCCCTCGGGGCCTTCTTCTTTTACACGTCAAATTCTACAGATGCAAGCCCGAAAAACCTACAGACATGTCAATTTCACCCTAAGCGGTCGCTGGGCCCAGGCCCGAGCTAGAAGCAGAGGCGAAGGCGAGCACCTGTTGCTGCTGGAAGAGAACATATAGAGGGAGGTCCTTGGTGAGCTCTTAGGGTTTAGGGTTGAGGGCTTATCATTCCCATACTCAACCCTATAAAGAGCCCTTTTAGGGTTTAGGGTTTATCATTCCCATACTCAGCCTTAATCAGGAGCCCTTTTAGGGTTTAAGGTGTATTTGGGGTTACAGGGGGTGCAAGAGCCCATCCTGGGTCAGGCGTTTTTTGAATGGAGGGCTCGGACTGGAGGTTTGAGATTTGCGGTTCAGGGTTGTTAAAGATGAAGCGTTTTTAATGCAAGATCATAGAAATTGAAAAAAGCAATAATACTTTAACATATTCATGCAATATTTAGCCTGCACCACGGCGGACTCTAAGCCACAACCGGATGAGCCTGCGGATGCTCGTGTCGGCCGTGTGTTGAGGCGGCGGCAGATGCAACCGCTGAAGTTTGGTCGCAGGCGGGAAGAGTTCAAGTCCTTTTGCTTCTTTCTTGATGGCTTTCTTGAGAGGGTTTTCTTTCTGTTCAAGGATCTTAGGTAGAGGAGTTCTGTGCCCACCCAAGCAACGCTTAAACTAAAACCCAAAGCCCCAACAAAGCCCCAGCACACAACTCTGCAACAAAAGCTCCCTAAGATCGTAAGAGCCTCTTCAGGTCTGGACGTCGCTGTCACCATCTCTCCATGTCCTTCCCACAAATGGAAAAAACAGAAAAAAAGGTATCAGGACCCACAACGACCTCATAGTTTTCAGAGCTGACTTATGTTACCGGTTTTTTTGGCTACGGAACGTACTCTGGTTCCTCATCCCCTTCTTAAAGGGGAATGAAGGAATTTGTTACCGCATGTCCCCTTTCTATACTATACCCACTGCAAAATCATGCGGGGTACCTCATTCCTGCATTCCCGAGTCAGAGCCAGCAGGTAAATCCCACTGACCCTTAAACCCAAAACCCTAACTGACAGCCCCAAGCCTTGATCGCAAATTCTCAGCCCTCGGAGTTTTCGCCTAAACTTGAGAGCCATAAACCCTGAAGGGTTTAGGGTTTAGGGTTTGGGGTTTGGGGTTTATGGTTTAGGGCTTAGCGAAGGGTTTTGGGTTTAGATTCTAGGGTTTGGGGTTTATGGCCCTGGCCGAGTAAGTCTACTTAGTATCTCCTAGAAATCCTTTTTTTGATAATCCCCATAACCCAATGTACTGACCTACTTACTAAGTCAAAAGGCTTCCAAGTACTCCCTAGACCCGAAGCTCCGATGTCCTGGCCGAAAGCCCTGTCCCCAACCTGCACCTTGAATCCTACATCTTCAAAGAGTACGACCCCTTAACCCCGAACCCTCGCCCTAAACCCCCAACACTGAAGCCCCTATAACCCCTAAACCCCAAATCCCAAACCCTAAACCCTAAACCCTAAACCCTAAACCCTAAACCCTAAACCCTAAACCCTAAACCCTAAACCGCCGAAGGTCTCCGGGCTGCGCCAGCTCATTAGTGCACTGCGCCGCCGCGACTCCGCACGGCTACGGCAGTCGCCGCAGCAGGCAGGAGCAGCTGGGGGCGCGCGGGCAAAATTTCAGGTTTTTAAAGATTTTGGTTTAGGGGTTGGGCTGCGGTGTTTGAGGTTTTTTTTTTTTGGGGGGGGGGGGGGGGGGGGGGGGGGGGTGGTTGGGGGTTTTGAAGTTGCAGCGTTTCGGGTTTGGAGGTTTCATAGCTTTGGGGTTAGAGAACGACAAACGCTCCTTGTGGGTCTAGGGCTGAACCGGCTGGGGCTCTTCGGGCTTGTAGGAATAGAAAGCCATCTTTGTCCGGATACCTTAATATCTCCATGATGTTTTTTGTCGTTTCCTTCCCTAAATTCTATTTCCTAAGCCCTAAAGAGGGACGCCCTTAAATCCTAACGAGGAGAGCCCTTAAAACCCAAAACCCAAGTCATATGCCCTCAGTCCTTTTCGCTACATCCTCAAGAGCGGGATTCCTAAATCTTGTTTCCTAGATCTTCTTCCCTTAGTATTACTCCCGAAATCTTATTCTCTTCCAGAACACCTTAAAGAGGGAGATCCACAGAGAGGAGAGCCCCTAAATTCAAGAAAACAAAGCCTGTTCCCTAAATCCTTTTCGCTAAACCCTCGTACCCTTAATTTTCTTCCCCAACGCCGATTGCATAATCCAAAAGGCAGGTGGTATCGACCACTTCTGTCCGAATCGTGGCCCAAATCTTCGTCGCTAAATCTTTCGCGAACAGGTTTTTGGAGGGTCTAGGGAACAAGCTTTTGGAACAAATGCAGGAAGAAGATGTAGGGAACAAGATTTAGGGATTCAGGTAATAAGATTTTAGGAAAACGATTTGGGGGATCCCGCTCTTGAGAGGATTTAGCGACAAGGATTTAGGCAATAGGGTTCAATTTGAAGGATTTAGGGGCTTTCCTCTTTAGGAATTCAGGACCACCCGCCATCTGGACTAAGCACTAGGAGTTGGGGAAACAAGGCTCAGTACAAGATTCAAGATTGAGGGAGCAAGATTTAAGGACTCCGCTCTGCAGGGTTCAGCCTAGTTTGGGGAACAGGGTTTTTCTTTTAGGAATTAAGGGCTCTCCGGGTTTAGGGTTTAGGGCTTAAACCAAAACCAAAACCTCCAAAGCCTCAACCCGGCAGTGTGCCAAGCTGGTGAAGGCGGTGGAGCTGCAATCTGTGCTCAGCACGGTCGCTTCTGCCTTACAAGGCCATCCAAACATGGGAGCCTGCATGTGTTTTCCCGTTCATCCGTTCCCTTTAAGGCCGGAACCCGAAACCTTTTGGGGTTTGGGTACAACATCATTGGGGCTTGCCGTTTGAGCCGTAAACTTGCACGAACCCTTTAGAAACTTGAAGACACACTACATACCGACATTATGGGACCTTTAGTCCATGTCAAGAGGTATGGGCGTCGGTGCAGGAATGGTTGAGGGTCTCTTGAAGCTTTCTGGCTTATAGGGTTTCGGGTTTAGGATGTAGGGTTTAGGATGTAGGGTTTAGGGTTTAGGGTTTAGGATGTAGGGTTTAGGGTTTAGGATGTAGGGTTTAGGGTTTAGGGTTCAGGGATGGGAGCCCAACGTCGGTGTGAGCTGTTGCCAGACCTTCACAGACAGATCCTTCAGTGCAAGTCATGCCTTTGAACGCAAGCCGAGTGGTTGGCCCCCGTTCATGGCAATAGCAACCACCTAAACCCCAACCCTAAACCCCAAACCCGAAACTTTGCGAAATGTTCCGAGTAGCCCATGCCCCTGATCCGAAAAGCAGACATCGACTCTAGGGTTCGAGAGTTTAGGCTGCAGGCTGTAGGGAGGAGTCTAGGGTTTAGGGTTCAAGGGTTTGGGCTGCAAGTTCGGGATGTTGGTTTTGGGGGTTTCCGGTACTCTCCGGACAAGGCATCTCTCCCCACCTCGCGCAGGAGGCAAGAGCTGGGCATGCTAAACTGGGCCTTGCTTTTCTGTTTGTTGTTCGCAAAGGGAAGTATAAACTAGATCAGTGTTAGGGATCCTTTTTACTTTTTGGGTTATGGGCTTTCTTATATATGAACAAAAAGGATCCTTTTTTTCTTCCTAGGGGAACAGGGATTAAGGAAAGTATAAAGGGACCTCGGCTTTCTACGAGCAATATGTCCCTGTAAGAACTATTCAGGGAACAAGGGGGATATGGTCACTTCTCTAAATTATGGTTTGGTTTTGGGGTACCCGAAATCGTAGGGGCCGCGTTATAATACCAAAAAGGGGCCATTAGAGATTTAGAGAGCTCATTCATGTAAGATCCCTATTTCCTGCTAAGAAAGTCGTAAGATATGGGGATTCATCTGAACTATGGGCCCCTTACGGGTCTGTGAGCCCCTCCAGTGTAGGGTTCAGGGTTTAGGACTTAGGGACAGGGCCCACACCTTCGCTCAGACCACATAATTTTGTATAGCCCAAGCTTGCCGAACTGGAGAGTAGGAAAAGATGCAGTGCTTGGGGATCTTATCCTGAACACTAACCTTAGACCCTAGATCCGCACCTTTCCCAGCCCTGAGATCCCAAAATGCTCAAGATGTCCTTTCTGGAATCTGAAACTGAAAGTACACTTGCTGCAAGGCAATGCAAGAATACGGCAGCGAGATTCATGGCAACCCTAAACCCTAAACCCTAAACCCTAAACCCTAAACCCTAAACCCTAAACCCTAAACCCTAAACCCTAAACCCGGGTTGGCGGATGAAGCATTGGAGTGATGCAAAGATCTTTGCCAGCTGCCCAAGACTACAGTTCGAGAGCACTGCGCCCCGAAAGCCCTGACATCCTAAATGCCTTATAAGCCCTTGCTGATGGGTATGAAAAAAAAGGCAGCCCGGGAACCGATAACCAGAAAAACCTATAACTTTCAAAACCCCTAAACCCCAAAACCCCTAAACCCAAAACCCTATAAAACTTTCAACCCCTAAACCCCAAAACCCCAAAACCCTGTAAACTTGAAACCCCTAAGCCCCAAACCCCTAAACCGACCACACCCTGGTCTGCTGACCAGGCGGCCGCTTTGGAGGCGGAGTGTGCCCAGATGCGAGGGGAGCTGCGCCGGGGTCCTCGGTGGCGGGGTTCGGGTGTGAGGTATGTTAAATTCTTTAAAAGACTTTCTATTACGGTTAAATGAAGGTGGAACTGTCCATAAATATGTGTTTAATCTCTAGGGGGCTTGTTCAGGGTGCGCGGATTTTTTTCGGCAGGGTGGAGGCCGAAAGGTTGATTTTGCTTAGTTGCTTCCTTGTTTTTTTTTTTTCGGGGGGGGAGGGGGGGGGGGGGGAGGGGGGGGGGGAGGTTTGAGAGCCTTTAGGGCTCTAGAAGTTCTATCGTTTGTGGGGCAAGTTTTTGGGAGGTGTGAAAGCGTGGTTCCAGAGGCTTCGGGGAGTTGAGGGCTTAGGGTTTGGGGTTTTGGGTTTATCGGGTTTATCGGGTTTATCGGGTTTATAGGGTTTATAGGGTTCATAGGGTTTATAGGGTTTATAGGGTTCGTAGGGTTTATCGGGTTTATCGGGTTTTCCGGGTTTAGGGTTTAGGGTGACAGGTCGTGAGCTCGCGTCCGAGAATGCCTGGACCACGGAGCGAAAGCCGGAGGACCAAAGCCACCTGCCCCAAGACCCTGCCCCAAGACCCCGCCCTTTACTTGGTAGCCCAGTGGTACCCTTTTCCCTTTTTGTCGGGGAGTTTGGGGTTTGGGGACTTATTATGACATGGTTACTGGGTTGCCAAGTTTAGAAGGCGTATAAACTACGACCCATTCCCTCTTTTTAGGGGCTACCCAAAGAGCCCAATACCCCTTCATGAAGGAATATACTTTAGATCATATTCAGGAACCCACAAATTAAGGTACATTCCTTAAATAAGGGGTATTGGGCTCTTAGGGTCGGCTTCCTTATATCACCTTAAACAAAAAAGGCCATCCTCTTGCCCAGGTTCCGCCAGGATCTAGCAGTTTGCGTTTTAAAGTTTATGTTTGGTAGGGACCGTGGTCCCAAACCGCGTGCATATCACGGACCCAAACCCTCCCAACCCCCTGTCGCTCATGATCGGAGATCGTGGGAGCCCCAATTGCGCTCATGATCGGAGACCATGGGAGCGCGTGACACCAGTCTAGCCAAGCGAGTGACACTTCCCTCTACGTGTTTTGGCGTTGCCGAAACGAAAAAACGATGACCTTCTACGATGACCTTCTGCGTGTGTGCGGCGTGTCGTGCCCGCACGAACGACAACCCTCTGCGTGTTTTGACATTGTCGAAAAGCAAAAACGATGAGCCTCTGCGTGGGCGCGGCGTGTCGCGATCGCTCGAACGACGACTCTGCGTGTTTTGGCATTGTCGAAACGTGAAAACGATGAGCCTTTGCGTGCGCGCGGGTCAATTGTCGTGATCGCGCGAACGACAACCCTTTGTGCGTTTTGGCGTTGTCGAGACGCAAAAACGAGGATGTGCAAGAACGACAACACTCTGCGTGTTTTGGCGTTGCCGAAATGCAAAAACGATGACCCTCTGCGTGTTCTTGGCATGTCGTGATCGCACGAACGACAGCCCTCTGAGGGTTTTGGCGACGTCGAAAACGGTTTTCGTGAAGCTTCTTCGTTGTCGTCGTTAATGTAAGGATGGACGTCGTCGTGGATGGATGTCGTGTTGGATGTCGTGATGGATGATAATTTCTTAAAAAAGTGAGGTCTTAATCACGACTCTACAATGCTTTCGAGACAACCGTTCTGTGGAGTTTTTGGAGCCAGTCGGATCGTTGGTGTTGCAACTGTAGTGCTGATGACTGTCGTGAATCTAGCCGACCTGCGTTCCAAGGGTCCTGCTCAACACGCAGAATCCATGTCGTAGGATCGCGCGTAACCCCTTGTCAAGTCATGCGCGGGCGATTTGATGAGAAACGCAAGTGGATCATGTGAGCTTTTGATTGTGGCCACGCGGCGTGGGGGAGGTGCGAGCTTCGTTGCGAAAGGTGTCCATCCCGCACCTCGTGACGCGCGTGTGGATGCTGCGGGTTCCCGTGCTTGGGAATGCCCTTCTGACGCATTCTCATCAGTAGGAGGCGCAGGAGGCGATTTGCCCATCCAAAATGCTCGCCCCTGGCCGGGTCCTTTATTCTGCCCAGTGCTTTTGCCTGTCATGCCGGAACTGTCGATTTGTGTTTGTCCTCAAGTTGCGTGCTGCTTGAGCGCTGTTGATGTTTTATGCTTTTGCTCAAATAAAAACTATTCCTGGCAGCGCCGTGTAAACTTGTACTAGTGAAGCTCAAAGGAAGCAAAGCGTCGATAGCATCACAAGAGCTTAAGTTTAAGGTCATCAGCGAGTCAGAGTTGATGGGTGAGTAAGTGGAGAAGTAGTTTGTGTGCAATGTCGAACGTTGCCTTAGGTGACAGGAACTATCTTCGTATTATGGGAGCATGGCGCCGTAGGCGAGGAAACAGTGGTGACAATGCAATTGGCCGTGAAGCGTGGCTTTGCAGGAAGCGCCTGACAGAGATGCATCGGCCTCGCCTCCCACGCCCACGCCGTGGTGACACCGGGGGCCCTCCCCACCTCTATGCTCGAGCTGAGCGCCGCCCAGGCGACCGGCTGATGCCGAAGTTCCATTTTATTGGGCTTTCCGAGGGCTTTCCGAGGAAAAGCTCTGCGCCCTCTGTATTTTGAGAGGAAAGCGTTCCCTTCCCTAGGTTTGACACAGAGAGAGAGAGAGAGAGAGAGAGAGAGAGAGAGAGAGAGAGAGAGAGAGAGAGAGAGAGAGAGAGAGAGAAAGAATGAAAGAAAGAGACACAGCATTATGTCCAAATGGGGGGCCCCAACCCCCCGCGTTTTTGCCGCGCAAGCTTGTTTCAAAGCATATGAATGTTTGGAACCCATCACGCGAGCATTGTGTTTGCAAATGGGAGGGGGGGGGGGGGGTGCGCCCCCCCCCACCCCCCCGCTTCTCTATGCCGCGCAAGCTATTTCAAGGAGTGTGTACGATTAAAACCCATAAGGCCACTTTTTTCACGGCATGTGATTGTGTGCAAATGGGAGGGGAACTGCGCCCGCCCCAACTCCCCCCGCTTACTTGAGCCGCGCAAGCTTGTTTCAGAGCATATGAACGATTGAAACTCATGATGCGAGCATTGTGTGTGCAAAGGGGGGGGGGGGGTGGGGCGGCTGCGCCCCCCCAACCCCCGCCTTTTTGCCGCGCAAGCTTTTTTTCAAAGCGTATGACTGATTGAAACGCATCAGGTCGCCTTGTTCAAAGCATATGAACGATTGAAGCCCATGACGCGAGATTTGTGTTTGCAAGTGGGTTGGGGGCCTGCGCCCCCCTCCCCCCCCCCCCGCCCCCCTGCTTCTTTTAGCTGCGCAAGCTTGTTTCAGGGCATATGAACGATTGAAATGTAATGCGAGCGTTGCGTTTGCAAATAGGGGGTGGAGGCTGCGCCCAGGCCATTCTTTACATGTGCGTTTGCCTTCTGCAAGGCGCGTGGAAAGTGTGTGCAAAATCTTGCAACCGTTGTTTGCGCAAAGTCTGCAGGACACTGCAAGCCTGCAAGGTCCTTGTGAGTTTGCAAGAAAATTTGTTCCGCAGAACTCAACCTTGCATAGTCGCGGGTCGCAACTTCTGCAGAATCCGAATGTCCTGGGCTTGTTTCAGGATGTGGTGGATTCAACTGAGACTGGTTCCTGGTGTGCACCACGCCTCCGGCTCAGTGTGGCAAGGACTTTCAGCACTAAGTCATGGACCGCAACAAGGTCATGATATTGCCAGCGCCGCATCGCTTCTAGACACCGCGTCGCTGAAGTGGAGCGTGATGCTTCGATGAGCAATAATTTTGAGGCCGCTTAACACCAGCCAGCTTCCTCAATGTGTCATTGCTGTGAGCCCAGCTTCGCGATGTTAAGGATGCAGGTGTGAGAGCAGAGCAGTCGAAGTACTGGTTTAAGCCCATAGGCTTGTAATGATGAGTTTGAAAATAGTACTCAAGAAATCGCGCGCTGAAGGCCATTCAGCCCGGTGGACTGTGCTTATCGGAAGGTTACCTAGACGATGTGACTGTGAGCTTTCTGAGGATCAAGCAGGCAAGCTGGCGCTGGAGATCGAAAACGTTGCAGGGCAGCAGAGTACAGCAGGGCTTGTTTTCGTATTTGCCATCTGTCGGCCTAGCCGCGGCCTAGCCGCTTAGCCTTTTCTTGTAGAACAAATTGCGTTGTTTGCAAATCTGCAAGCTAGGGGAGGGCGCTCTTCGTTGCGCTGAGAGCGCTCTCAGCAAAGCGCGGCGTACTGTACTGGCCAGTTGGTGCGCACATTGTTGCTTCGCAGCTCCATACGTGAGTTTGCAAAAGTTCGCATCCTGAGCCTTGCCGGGTTTTTCTGCTACATTTTAGGCACTGTGTATCTCGTTTGTGGCTTTTGAGCACCAGCTCTCTAGTCCACAAGCTGGGCATTTTGGCCACTCACGTCCCGTCCCTTTCTGATCGTGTCGGATCTGTGCGCTGCGCAAGGACCGAATGTGCGTTGCAAGTGTTTGCGCCACGTGTCGAAGACTTCATACCTTGGGAGGTTCTACACTAGCAGTCCTTTATCGGGATTATCGTACCCCCTATCAGAATCCCTATTAAGGACTGTTAGTCCAAGGGGGGGCATCCCAACTTAAAGCCCTTGAAGCCCTTTAAACCCTGTAAACCCTATGAACCCTGAACCCGGAACCCTATAAACCCTAAACCCTCAACCCTACACCCTACAAACCCTAAGCCCTAATCCCTAAACCCTATAAACCCTAAACCCTAAGCCCCAAACCCAAATGCCCAATCAGCCAAGTTGGGGACGCAGGATCGTTGCGAGCTGAGTGACGAGGAGGACCTCATGCTGGAGCAAGCGGAGGAGGAGGCGAGCCCCCTAAAGCCTCAAGCCTCAAGCCTCAAGCCTCAAGCCTCAAGCCTAAACCCCAAACACCCTAAACCCTCAACCCTAGACCCTAGACTCTGGAACCTGTGAGGTGCAGGGGCCCCACGTTCCCTCATTAAGGCTTAGTATGACTGATTGGGGCCGACTGATACCCTTTTCTGGGTTAGGATGTCCAGTAGTACCCTTAATCACTTTTTTGTTTGGCTTAGGTTCCCTTATCATCCCCTTTAAGCAAAAATGGGCACCCTTTTTTCTCCTGGTTTATTGGGTAACCTAGTGGGTCTTATTTGGGGATTAATTACGGGCCCCTGCACCCCCCTTCCCTTGCACGCTGCTAGGGCAATGTGAGGTAAGGGGCCAGTGGTCTACCGCCGTGCAAGAGTTCCGAGCAGAAACCCCAAGCTATGTTGAGCAACAACCCCAAAGCCTGGACCTCCTAAAGTGCAAACGGCCCCAAGCCACCTTGTAAGCCCAAGCCCTATGTCTCAAGATAGCCTCAACAATCATCCAAATCAGAATGGCCTCACCAAAAGTAGGAGTGCACCCCGGAGACCCTGAGCCATCAACCCTAAACCCTAAACCTCCGGAAAATCTCAGACGACGATTGGACCCTAATTGAACCATAGTCACCTATACAACCCTGAACCTTAGACCCGAAACACCTAAGTGCACCCCAAACTCTAAACCCGTATTGAAACCCTGAACCCCTCAACTAAACCCCACACATCCCTCAACTAAACCCTGAACGCTCAACGCTGACATCAAATCCCAAGCCCTAAGCCCTCAACACCTTTGCCAACCCTAAAACCTGAACCTTGAGACCCTATATCAGCCTCCAGGAGTACGCCTCCGAGCTTACTGGCTTCCCGGCCCTTGGGAGATTTTGTGCATTCCCTTCTTGGGTTTAGGCTTGAAGGGGTTTAGGTTTTAAGGGGTTGATTGGTATGTGGTATCGCCTTTATGGTCAGGTCAGGGAACCTAAAGCCCTAAAACCCTAAACCCTAAACCCGAAACCCCACCTCTGTAAACGTCCAACCCAGGCTTGAATGCCCAGATCCGGGTGACGCTGGCCCAGCTGGAGGAGGCGCCAGGGGTTTAGGGCTCAGGGGCTTTCAGGTTAGGGGTTTTAGTTGAGGGTTTAGGGTTGAGGGTTTGGGGTCTAGGGTTTGGGGTTCAGGGTTTGAAATGAGAGGGTCTTGGGTATTTGAGCGTGAAACGGTGTAGGTTCTAAGTCTATTCAAAGTTCCGTGTTAGAGCTCTCTAGGCTTCTTATAACCCAAAGCCCTAAGCCCTGAACCCTCTCGAAACCCGAAGGTTAGGCCCGCCCTAACCCCTCAACCCTGCAGCATCATGCACCCCTGCCGATCGGGTCCGGGTTTCAGGCTTAGGGTCTAGGGTTCAGTGTTTAGGGGTTCATGGTTCCACGTTGCAAACCCCAGCTGCAAGCCGTTTGAAGGAGGAGATCCCCCCCCCCCCTTGGGATATCTCATATCTTCCCTTGAATGCAGCTTTTCCCAGGGGCACTGCCATCCTGATGAGCCCTTTTCCTATTCAGCTGAAGGAGTGGGAGCGGTTGGGGGCTTCTGGGTTCTAAGATTTAGCCAAGCTGGCTAAACTTTTCACCCTGAATCCTAACCCTGAACCATGAAACCTGCAATCTAAGTCCACCCAAGTCCCAAGACCCCGCGCAGGAAATGGCTGATTTTCGTCGCCGGAAGCAAGGCGCGCCCAAAAGCAAGAGCACCGATGCGGGGGTGGTCCTGGCAGTTCTCGGAAATGTAGGTCCGGGATAAACGGCTACCTTCGTTGAGTGAGAACTGCCCGTCAATTGATTTTGGTGTCCTGGCTTCACACGGTTGGTCCAAAGTTTCGTGCGATTTTCTCATCGGGGGCCAAGCACCCCTCAACATGAGCCCAAGTCTATTGGTTACGGGTGCTGTGAGTCGGTTCGTACCATTCTAAACAGTTTATGCTCCTACCAGGACGGCTAATTATACGCTACAACCCTAAAAAGGCCCGTTTATCGGGTTGATTCTGGGGATTGCAGGGCGTACTCTAGTAGCCCATCCTGGTATTGGATGAAAGATGGCAGTGGACAGAGAGGTTGGGACGACGAAGCCCACTTCCGCTTCCTGCACATCAAGCAGCAGTTTCAGGCGCCCACGTGAAGGGCTTAGGGTTTAGGGCTTAGGGTTTCGGGTTTAGGGTTTGGGGTTTAGGGTTTAGGGCTGGGGTGGGTTGGCGGGGAGGCACCAAGGATGGCAGAAAGGAAGGCTCCTGCAGGATTTGTTAAGGCTTGGCCAATATTTCGCCGTGGCGATCCACTTTAAGGTATGATGCGTTTCAGCGGACGCGTGCAGATCTGTTCTTCGGTGCTCTTTCTAGATCTTCCAGAATGGACTAGTTAAGAAGCCGCTATACGTATCCCTAAAAACCAGAATAAGAGCCCGCATGCGATTTAAGGGTTGTTCCCGAACTGACCTTGGAAGATCTGTGTTTCTTGTTTGTCATACGAAGATTTCAGGGTTCAGGGTTTAGGGTTTAAAGGAGTCTGGCTTAGGCCTGGCACCTGCCAAACAATCGGTGCTCGTGAGGTTCAGGGTTTGGGGCTCCTGCTATACAATTCGGCCCCTTACTAGAATATTCAGCCCCTCAAGCCCCACAAGCCCTACAAGCATCTACCCTAAACCTAAACCTAAACCCTAAACCCTAAACCCTAAACCCTAAACCTCAAACCCTATACTGTTTCCTAAACCCGAAAACCCAGAGTCAAACCTTAACTGGCGCCCAGCCAGGGTCGTGGACGTGAATTGCTCACGGAGCGCCTGCGGCTAGAGCCACCTGGCTCCAGAATAAGAGATGTCGGATGAAGTTAGGGTTTGATTATGGGTTTTGGTTTTTGGGTTAAGGGTTTAACAGGGTTCAATAGGGTTTAATTGGGGTTCATTCGGGCATTAGGGTTTGGTAGGGTTTGGTAGGGTTTAGTAGGCTTTAACGGGGTGTTGGGTTTTGGGTTTAGGGAGTCCACAGTGTCTATGATAGCAACCTGTGCACCCTCACAAGACCCTTCAAAAAGAACTAGAAGCATAGCTTTCAATTATCCAATAGCTGGTCCTCAATTTAGATGGAGTTGGGTTGGGCGGGGAAAGCTCCAGAACTTTATGGTGACTTCAACAGTTGCTGGCTCAGCATTTGCAGGTTGAACTAGACCGACCTTGGGAAAAAGGAGACTTGTTTGATTGGCCTGCCGGCCTGCCTGGGCGATTGTAGAGTCTACTAGGTACTCTAAAAGGCCATATAAGTTGTTTAGGATCAACTAGCAGGTTGCTTAACACTTACTGGGCTTATGTATGGAAAGATTTTGTTCCACCTTTTGGATAGTCTCCGCCATGGATAGGGAATGCGGAAATCTAGTCTACGTCGTCGGATCAGGTTCCCGCACCTGCCGCGCGAGCAGCTCCAGCAGCACGAGGCGCGCGCTGAGGGTTTAGGGTTTAGGGTTTAGGGTTTACGGTTTCGGGTTTCGGGTTTCGGGTTTATAGGGTTTAGGGATCTAGAGTTCCTGCGGTTTCCCCAGACTCCAGAACCTCTCTATGAGACCCGAAACCCTCAAGCCCCCAGTCCCGGGTTCTAAAACCGATCGGTTTCTGATAGGGGTTTAGAGAAGCTTCCTGGTTTGGCTCATTAGGGTTTTGTGGTTAGGCATTGTTCGAGGTTCGCAAATTGGGCACTTGGGGTCTAGTGGGCTAGGAAGGATTGCCAGGGTTTGCAAGCAGCAATGAGGCGACCTGCGATGGGCTGAAATTCGCCAGCCAGCGACAGGTGCGCCTGCGAATTCGTTTGCTTTATGATTTTTAGCAGGGTTTCGGGTTCCCCTAAACTGTGCGAGAGGAGCACACGGGGCTGGGAAAGTCACTACAAGGATCAGGTAGAAGACATACCCCAAGTCCAAAACTGCAGCCCCGAAACCCTAATTAACCCGCTGTGTACCGTTACCTTTCAGGTTCTAGATCCTGCAGGGCCTCGCGAAACCATCATTAGGAGATTAGGAGCCTCACGGTCACCACGAGGTCACAATTGTTTTTTTTTTTTTTTTTTTTTGGGGGGGGGGGGGGCCTTCATTGCTTACGATGTAGACCTTCGAGGCTCTGAAGAGCCACAGTCTATAGCATGTGTGACTTCTTTTTTCGTTGTGTTTTTTCCATGCCGCCCTTGCAATAGAAAACCCTGAACCCTAAACCCTAAACCCTAAACCCTAAACCCTAAACCCTAAACCCTAAACCCTAAACCCTAAACCCTAAACCCTAAACCCAGTCCCTGGCAAACCATCGCAGCTCTACCAGATGCCCTAGACAGGCAGCCGCCTTTCGGCAGTGGCGCCGCGAACGGCTGGCACTACTTCGGAGGCGGACCCCTAACAGCCCTAGCATGGTCAGTTGGATGCGAAGGACCCCAATAAAGTGCCCCTAATTTCGGAAACCCCCAAGTAGGTTTAGCAAACATGGGATCTTGTAACCACCCTGAACTGAACTATCCCCTACAGCAACGACAGAACCCTTGACTAAGCCACATATCGGCCTTATATCTTGCAAGGGTGTGCTGAGGGAGGGGGTGGAAAATGCCGTGGGAGCCCATCAGCTAAGCCCAGAAGAGCACCCTAACCTCCAAAACCCCTTGTGGACAAGCGACGGTGAACCAGCAGGGGATCGGGCTATATCTGTGGCGAGCCCACGGGCCGCCCACAAGCCTTGGCGCTCCACACGAAGAATTCCCCTAAGGATCCATGTACCTATATAGTATATACTTGGGCCCTACTTTCTACTGATTTCATATAGGAACCCCTTTAAGGCCCAAGTACATACTATATAGGCACATGGATCCTTAGGATTATCGTCAGGAGGTGAGCCGGGGGCCCGAAACCCGAAACCCTAAACCCTAAACCCTGAACCCTAAACCCTAAATTTTAAGGGGCTGCGCCCAGGGGCGGGCAACGCCCCCAAGAGGACGGGAGTGTGAAACGAAGGGCGCGCGCGCGCCCGCGCGCGCACGGGGCGCCCGCCGGGAATGCCCACGATGGCGCCCGAGCAAGCTTCGCACGCCGTGTAGGAGGTCCTGCTACCCTAAACCCCCCCCGCCCCCGCAGCACCAAGGACCTGCTGATGCTGCTGATGCTCGCCCCCCGGATCTCCAAGCAGAAGCGAAGCCTCGATGCCCACCCAACCGCGCATCATGAGCATCAGCGGCTCCGGCCTCGAAGCATTGGTGGGTTGTGCGAAGAAATGGCGGCCTCCACGCGGAAGTGTCCCTAACCCCACGAAAACCACTTTATTTATGATGGTTTCTTCCGAAACCCGAGGCCAGAACTGCTGATGCTCATGATGCGCGCTGTTTTGGGGTGACCGCTGCCCTCCCAAAACAATCGAAAATATGGTTTTGACAAAAGTTGAAAAACACCCTTCGAAAGCCGCGTTTGGGGGCCGGATGTTGCCGGCCTGCCCGGGTCGGCGGCACCGCGTGCCCATCCCATAGCTATAAAGCCAGGCGGGCACACAGAGGGGCGTTGCCCGATTTAGGAGCCTCCGGCTCCGCCGACCCAAGAGGCCCTAAACCCCCCAACCCGAAGGCCTGAACCTTAAAAAACTCTGGGGGGAACCTTAAACCCTACACTTATACCCAACCGCCCAAGAGGCACCAGCAGCGGTTCGCCGAACGGCGGCGGGCATCCGAGCTTCTCGCGTTGAAGAAGCAGGCAGGCCTTGTGACTAATCTACACAAGAGGGCTTCTAAAAGAGGGCTTCTAGGGCTTCTAGGGCTTAGGATTTAGGGTTTACGGTTTAGGGCTTCGGGTTTAAGGTTTAGGGCTTAGGGTCTACATAATATCAACACATAGGTGAACATCTACTACTTGCACGTTTAGCCCCCTGACAAAACACCTTCTAGAAAGACTGAAACAGGATTTGGGGTTAAAGGCTCTTAAAAACCTCCGTCAACCCTAAACCCGAAACCCGAAACCCTAAACCCTAGCCTAAACCCTAAACCCTAAACCCTAAACGCCTAGGCCCGGAACCTTAAGCCAAGAATGAGATCGCAGAAGTGCTTCCAGGAGCTCCTTGACCTTCGAGAGAAAGGCAAGGCCTTGCAAGGCCCATGGGTTTTGTGGGATGTTTAGGGTTTAGGGTTTAGGGTTTAGGGTTTAGGGTTTAGGGTTTAGGGTTTAGGGTTTAGGGTTTAGGGTTTAGGGTTTAGGGTTTAGGGTTTAGGGTTTAGGGTTTAGGGTTGGGCTTTTGGGGTTTGGGACCCGGAGCCCGGCTCAAGATCTGAAGGGCCCTGTTTGTTGGTACCACTATTACAACCCCCAACCCTAAGTCCTAAACCCAAATTAGCTAAGCCCTAAACCCAAGTAAGGGTCGAACCACCCGACCTTGAGACCCGTATCAGCCTTAAATACCGAAGACTCCGTCCACCCTGAAACTGTCATGGGTTTGGGGCTTAAGGGCCGCCACGGGCTTGCGGGACTTAGGGTCAGTACGCTCCAGGCCTCAAGTGCCCTTTGCGCCCAGAAGCTAGGAGGGTTCAAAGGGGTTCTTGAGAGGGTTTGTGCTGAGTAGGCAATCTTCTTGGGGTGGTCGCATCCCCCTTCAGACCCCCGGCAAATCCCTTTTCCCCTGGAAAACTCAGCCAGTAAGCTCATAGAGATTGGGCTCTATGACTGAACCTTAACCAAACCTTCAACCCTCAACCCTCCCCCCCTCTGAGCCCTGAAAAGCGAGAGAGGCCGCTTGGAGGTCGACCGCGCCAAGGCGTCGGCGAAGCGTGAGGCGCTTGCGTCCTTTCAGAGCTTATGGGTTTGCAAACTCTTGGGGTTCGGGGGGTGTAGGGGTTTTGCAGGATTTCGATGATACGGCTTAGAGGAATTGGGGGTGCTTTGGAAGGTTTCAGGACACGTTTAGGGACTTCAGGCGCTTCATGGGTGGGGATTTGTAGGGTTTTATAGGCCAAAATTGTTTTCGGCTCAAGATCTAAGATGGCCCACTGCTTAGGAGCTCTGCTTTTCGATTTTCGGGGTTTTGGGGGTTTAGGGTTAGGGACCTCGCGAACTTCGGCGTGAGGCCATCTGCTGACCGTTCTGCGATGCCATCCCTGAACCCTTACGACAGGGAAACCAAGAGGGACTCTGAAGCATCGTCCTGGAACCATAAACCCCCAGGCCCTAAGCCCTAAACCCGAAACTCGAAACCCTAAACCCTAAACCCCAAACCCGAAACCCTAAACCCTAAACCCTAAACCCCAAACCCTAAAAACCCTAAACCCTAAACCCTAAACCCTAAACCCTAAACCCTAAACCCTAAACCCTAAAAACCCTAAACCCTAAACCCTAAACCCTAAACCCTAAACCCTAAACCCTAAACCCTAAACCCTAAACCCTAAACCCTAAACCCTAAACCCTAAACCCTAAACCCTAAACCGCAACCCTAAGCCAACCTGTGATGCCAGGGAGTGCGCCTTGCTGGCTCTCAATAGCTTCAGCAGGGTAGAGAGATGCGATGTCAAGTCCAGGAATGGTTGTGGGGCATCTCGGTTTTAGGATTTCAGGTGGGTGCTGGTGCCACATCGTCTCAGGCGACTTCTGTTCTGAGGAAGCAACAATCATGGAACCAGACGTTTGAGGTGGTCAGTCTTACTTTCAGCAGCCCCCTTGCAAGGTGAGTCCATTACCGAGGTTCATGTCACATCATTCTAAACCCTAAACCCGATTATAAACCCTATAAACCCTATAAACCCTGTGAACCTTATAAACCCTATTCTATAAACCCTATAAGCCCTATAAACCCTTGAAACCGTAAACCCTTCGATTGACATCCATCGGCTCTCCGCATCGCGCCCGCATGTCGCCTCCGGCACGAGCCCGCTTTGGCAATGCAGCCAACCCAAGCTGCGCCTCACACTGTCTCCCGCATCGCGAAGGGTAAGGACACCCTCGTTCATGCTTAGGGTTGAGGGTTTAGGGTTTAGGGATGCCCCCCGCACCCAATATTCTGTTCTAGAGTCATTGTACTACAAGCTACCCCAAAGACCCATTATCGTCAAATAATGGGCCCCCTAGGTTCCTCTTCGATGCAACTCCTTGTGCTCAAGCATCCCAGGAAGCATTCTAGGATCCCGGCCGGATGGAAGAACTTCTCATTCCCATTGTCTTTTTTGAAAACATGCCTCAGTTTCGTATACGTTGAAGATGTGTATATAAGATATGAGCATAGGGGTTGACGAAAATAGGGGACCCGTAAAATAGACCCAGATTCCCAGATAATCCCCTTAAAATAAAGGACCCCAATAGGTTACCCTAATATCGTGAACATTCCTAGAGCTTAGAGGAGATAAACCCTAAACCCTACATTGCTAAATCCTAAGCCCTAGACCCCAGACCCTAAACCCGAAACCCGCACTAAACCCTAAACCCTGTGTGTACGTTTTTGTGTGTGTGCGTGTGCTTCAATCCGCGGAGTCGGCCTGAGACACCTGCTGCTCCAGTGCCTCGCCTTCGGAGGTTCCTTTAAGTGCATCTGGGGCTTGAAGTCTCCAGTGCATGCCGGCCTCCATGCTTTGATCCCAGACCCTAAACCCTAAACCCTAAACCCTAAACCCTAAACCCTAAACCCTAAACCCTAAACCCTAAACCCTAAACCCTAAACCCTAAACCCTAAACCCTAAACCCTAAACCCTAAACCCTAAACCCTAAACCCTAAACCCTAAACCCTAAACCCTAAACCCTAAACCCTAAACCCTAAACCCTAAACCCTAAACCCTAAACCCTAAACCTTTCCTTGTCCGTCTGCTTGTCCGCGCAAGGACTTCACCGTCCCGCAGAAGGTCTACCTGAAATGGCTGCGGCAGCAGATGGCCCCCAGGCCTTACATTCAGAAGACACATAGGCCAGGCCACCTTGGCTAAGGGTTTATGGTTTCGGGTTTAGGGTTTAGAGTTTAGGGTTTAGAGTTTAGGGTTTAGGGTTTAGGGTTAGGCGTCTTTTTTTTCGAAGCTGTTCCCTGTGCCACCAAGGACGTGGAAAGAGCCTGCATGGAGTTGCCATTCACAATCGCTCTGCTGCACCTTGACAAAGCACTGCAAGCGGGACCACAGAACCAGTCTTGAGTCTCCGACATGGGGCTTCAGGGTTAAACACCAAAAACACCAAAAACCCAACTCTAAACCCCAAGCCCCAAAAACCTAGGACCGGGAATTGGGTGGTGTCTTTTCGTAGCCCCAGCGGTACCTCCTGAACCCCTAAACCCTAAACCCTAAACCCTAAACCCTAAACCCTAAACCCTAAACCCTAAACCCTAAACCCTAAACCCTAAACCCTAAACCCTAAACCCTAAACCCTAAGCAAACCCTAAACCCTAAACCCTAACCCAAGGTGCATCTTCGGTGCCTTTGCCATCATCGGCTTGAGCCAGGACGTCCCAAGTGCCCTTTGTGGTTTAGGGTTTAGGACTTAGGGTTTAAAATCCCACCACTGAGGGTTTAGGGTTTTAGGGTGTATGGGGTTCATTAAGGCGTGTATTTGGGCTCCCGGTCTAGGGCCCAAAGGTCTAATTGACTCCAAACCCACACCGAAAAACCTCACACACACACACACACAAACCCCAAGGAATGGTTCAGGGCTCTGGGGCTTTAGTACCTGTAGCTGAAAATGAAGGCAAGCTTTCCCTTTGTTAAGGGGCCGTAGATTGGGGGGGTGTAGGGTTTTAGGGTTCAGGGTTCAGCGTTCACTGTTTTAGGGTTGAGGGTTAGGGTTTGGGTTTTAGCGTTTAGAGTTTAGGGTCTAGGGTTTAGGGTTTAGGGTTTAGGGTTTAGGGCCAGACAGACTTCGAATTCCTCCGGACCAACTGCTTTCGGCTCCAAGTCTGTTTGCCTGTGACGCCCGCAGGATCGCATCTACAGAGTCCAGCACGCCATCCAGGAGGAAAGGGAATTCCAGTATATTTAGGGTTTAGGGTTTAGGGTTTAGGGTTTAAGGAATTTCCCCCCTCTATTTCTAGGGACCATATTGATTGAGGGCCCACGAAACTGCCCTTAGAGTTTAGGGCTTAATGGGTTTCCCTACTACCCTAATGAATAGTATCTATATAATGAGTGGTAATCAGTAATAGTAATTTTGTAATACGAGGAACAACATACCATGGGTTCCCCTACTACCCCCCTCTATACTAACCCCCCCCCCCCCCCCCCGCGGTTCCCTGTATAATTAAGGCTGTTTAGGGGTAGTAGGGGTACATTTTGGGCATGAAAGGGGTGCCGCTATTTTGGGAAGAGGAGAGTCATTTTAGGCCTTCAGGGGGGGTGTGTAGGGCATTAGAAGTTCAAGGGGTTCACTTTGTTTTGTTTGGCTTTTGGCGCTCTAGGGCTTTGGGATGGTGGTTGTTGATATCATTCTGGGGCAAGTTCGGGACCTTGTTGACTGAAGAGCCCATGTTCCCCCCTATACTAACAGCCCTGGATAGGGATTATAGTAGGGGATACTATAATCCTTATTAAGGACTGTTAGTATAAGTGGGAACATCCCCTCTTTGACAGAAGGCGCGATACGACATAAAGTTCACGAAACCTTCTGAGCCATGTTTGATTTTTGGGGTTTGCTGTAAAGCCACCCCCCCCCCCCCCCCCCCCGTCCCGCCCCGCCCTTCCAAAAAAAAAAACAAAGAAATAACAATATAAATATAACAAAATAGGGTTGTGGTGAAGCCCCTCGCGAGACCAAAAAGCCCCTAATATAGGGGTCAGAATCATGACGAGTTGTATTCCCTATGGTCCCTTCATGCTCATGCTCATAACCCCCAAAACCCTATTCTAATCATTAAGGCCCCTACATTACATTCAGCGTGTGCGTTTTAAGACGCCTTCCGCAGGACATCGCCGCCAACGCCAACTTTGCCTTCAGCGGCTACCAGGGTCACAAGGTGGGAGCCACTAAGCCCAAAACCCTACACACCCGATTTTTTGCCTGAACCCGGAAGCTTAAACTAGGGTTTAGGGTTTAGGGTTTAGGGCCTGAAGCCTCACGTTGGCAGAACTACGAAGATGTCCACAGCATCGACGACTTCTGGTCTTGGCTTCGCCTCGGCTTCCTGCCTCTGGTCGTGCAGCCAGCATCTGGGCAAGGTTTAGGGTTTAGGGTTTAGGGTTTGGGGTTTGGGGTTTAGGGTTTAGGGTTTAGGGTTTAGAGGCTGTTGCACTACTGAAGGCTTCAAACCCTCACCTAGACCTCTCCAATCTGAACCGCACGTAGGATACTGTGACTGAGATGTTCTCTTCCCTTCTCTTTCCCGTAGGCTCACAGTGGCAAAAAAAACCTTAAATACAAAGGCCTTTGGGGTTTGGGGTTTAGGGTTTAGGGTTTAGGGTTTAGGGCTTACAAAACCCGGAAATAAGAGTCCTTACATCCGTAGGGGTTTGCATCCCATCCCCTTTCGAGGTCGCAGGGTTTAGGCTTTAGGGTCTAGGGTTAGGCTTAGGGTTTGGAGTTTAGGTTTAGCATTTAGGCTTGGTTTTGGGTTCTGGGTTTAGAGCAGCCATTGCAGTCCTAGTCTAGCTGCTCTACCATGTACTTCCACCTGATTCTCTAGTCCTCTGCAAAGGCATTCCTACCAAGTTTCCTGTCATGGCATCGTTTGCAGTCTTATGCTACGGATTTTGTGCATGCATACACAGGAAGCACCTTCAACCCTAAACCCTAAACTCAGGGCCTAGGCCGCCCCCCTACGTTGGGGGGCGGCGCTCAAGCCCTTCCACCTCGATGGCGCAAACCGAGCCAGGTCGTTCGTCCGCCTCCCACAGCTCGGGGGTCGGGGGGGGTACCCCAGGGCCCCAGCCCAGGAGGACCCGGACCCTTCGCGCCCAGGGACCAGAAAGCTTCAGGCCGGCTCAGGCAGACGTAATGTCTGCCTGCGACCCTCCCTGAAACTGCAAAACTGAATATTTTTTTTAGAAGTGGACTGTTGTCTGAGTTAGGCCTAAACCCTAAAAGGAATAGGTTTGCGCCTTGGACGGCGTGGGGTGGGAGAAAAGTGTTAGATGGCCCTCCACAATCGGGCCAAAGCTGCTCTTCGCACCTCACGAAGCTTTCGATCTTGTTCCGAAACCTAACCTTCACAGCATCTACGCCCTATCACAGCAAACCCTAAACCCTAAACCCTAAACCCTAAACCCTAAACCCTAAACCCTAAACCCTAAACCCTAAACCCTAAACCCTAAACCCTAAAACCTAAACCTAAACCCTAAACCCTAAACCCTAAACCGGTCTCTTAGGCTTGGGCATACTCGGAGGGCAGAGACGTCGCTGTGGCCAGCGTCTTTGATCTCTCCACGGGCCCTGCAAGGGTGTCCTGGTCTTGGATGGTACGTCACAGTAGCAATAGTACTCGTAGCAATAATACTGTTAATGATATTAGGCATATGACAGTATATCATTTGTACATGATTTCGGTGTGTATATATATATAATGACGTACACATGTTTTTTTAACAGTTCCAGAACAATGAGCTTATTGGTCATTACGAGTATAAAGAAGCCAGTGCAGGACCAAGGAATAATTAGTACGAGAAGGCCACAACCTGAAGAGTGGGGATTGCGGGATGGTCGTTTTTATACGCGTGGGCTTTTGAGCTGTGGCAAGTGTCCCTTGCAAAGAGCTGTGTGGCACGCAAACCTGCAGATGCCGTATCAACGGCACTAGCTGTGTCTGCGCCGTTCTCCGGAAGTGTCACAAGCAAGACCGTTTCTGTAAGATGCCCGGATCATGGCTAGTTGTGAGTGGGCGACTCATGTGGCCTCGCCCTTTTCGTGGGGTTGCCCAGGAGCCGAATGAGACATGGAGACTGACTGCATTTGGAAGTGCTTCAGCTGCAACTGGGTCAGCCAGACTGGCAATGAGTAGCGCATCATGATAGCCAGGATTTGCGTGCGGGGCCCTCAAATACACAAAGAATTCGCCAAAAAAGGTCATTGCAACGATAGCAAGATACGATGAGTGTTGTTTCGCCTTTTAGGGTTTAGGGTTTAGGGTTGCAGGGATTGATCCAACAAGCTGCAGGCACTTGCAGCAAAGTTGCCTGTGTGGTTCTTCTTTTCGACTAGCAGGTCTTGTGGGTTTAGGGTTTCGGGTTAGGGTTTATAATTAGGGTTTTTGTCTTAAGGTTGCGGCTCCTTTTGCACTGAGGCGGGAGCCAGCCACTGCCCATCACCAGCGACTACCTGCGCTACAACCGCATAGTTGGATGCTGTGGCAGCAACTAGTGATCGGCCCTTCGTTGGCCCTGAGCGAAGAAGTGCTGCCCTTCAAGTGTATCGGGCTGTTGCCTGTTTGTGTTCAGGGACGCAATCCGAAGGACTCAGAGAGTTTTGAACACCCCCCCCCCCCCCCAAACCCCCCCCCCCCCCAAAACCCCCCCCCCCCCCCCCCCAAAAAGAAAAAAATGAAAAGAAAATAAATATAATAGTATAATAATAGTAATAATAATAGTAATAATAATAGTAATAATATAGTAATAATAGTAATAATAATAACACTCTTCTCCCCCCCCCCCCCGACCGAAATATTACCATTGAAGGAAGCTCCTGAGCCCCCCAAAATATTACAACCCTTAAGCCCAAGACCCTTAAACCCTGAACCCTAAATGAATCTCTAACATACCCAGACTCCCCTGACCCTCAAGACCCCTTATCCCCAAACCCCAAAGACCCTGAAAACCCGTCCAAAAGACCCTAAGCCCTTGACGACCTTAAAGACCCAGACCCTTAAAGACCCTTAAGACCCTCAAAACCCTTAAAACCCTTAAAACCCTTACAGACCCTTAAAGACCCCTTAAAGACCCTTTTAAGACCCTTAAGACCCTTAAAACCCTTAACGCCCTCAAAGCTCGTAAGAGCCCTTACAACCCTTGAAATTCCTTAAAACCTCAAACCCACCACAACCCTTAAAACCCTTAAGACCCTAAAGATGCCAAAAGCCCTCGAAACCCCTAAAAAGCCCTTGTAGGCAACAAAAACCCTAAGAACCCTTAAGAAGCCCTGATAAACCCCTACCGAGACCAAGGCGGGCTCCGCCTTCGGCAGGGCGTCTCGTCCGGCAGTGGCGCGGCCTGTCGCTTTCCGAGCGCCGGTGCAAGAGCCGCCTGGGAGAGGCTGGGGGGGAGGGTTGAGGGTTTAGGGTTTAGGGTTTAGGGTTTAGGGTTTAGGGTTTAGGGTTTAGGGTTTAGGGTTTAGGGGGAGGGGGGGGGGGGGCTGTTGGCAATTCCCTATAACACTGTAACCCTATATAACCCTATAGCCCTATAACCCTACATAACCCGCCACCCTATAGTTCACCCTACATAACGCTTTTTTAACCCTGTAGAGCCCTATAAACCCTAAAATGGGGGAGGGGCTTAAACCGTCAACCCTGAACCCTAGACCCTAAACCGTACAAGCAAAGCGAAGATACCACATCGTCCATATGGGATGAAGGAAGTCTAGGAGGTTTAAGGGCCTTTGGATTTCAAGCGTTTTTGGGGTGGATTTTAGGGTTTTTGTTTGCTGGGTTAGGATTCAGGGTTTGGGGTGTAGGGTCGTTGGTTTGCGCTTTGCTTGTTTTTTCTTTTGGGTGATTCCGGAGTTTCGGGGTTTAGGGCTTTGTTTTGCAATTGGACTCGGTGGTGGGGGTTCAGGGTTTAGGTTCAGGGTGGACTTCGCTTAAGGTACGTAGTTTTCAAGGTTCATGTTCAAGGTATATGCTTAATAGTTGTGTGATGCTTATAGGGTTTAGGGTTTAGGGTTTGGTAATGTTTGGCATGTGGGGAGTTTAGGGCTTGGGGCCTTGGGGCCACAGCATTTAGAGGTAAGGTGTGGTTTCGGCGTCGAAGGGTTGGACTCCAGGCCCGATAGGATGTTCTTTTTTATGTATTCGTTTTTTCAATTTTTTGAGGCTCATAGCCAAGGTGTGCGTGGGGTTTCGGGTTTAGGGTTCAGGGTCTTTGTCATAACTTTTGGAGAGTTGACCTTCTGGGTTTGGTTGGCAGCTGCAGAGGCTTCACGGATGAGGGCTCAGGGTCTCGAAGCCCTACTAAAGATCCCTAAAGCCCTGAAACCCACAAGCTCTTCATCCTGCTTCACATCTAATGAGGTTTTTCCTGGTCACCTAATATGGTTCTTTACCTTCTTTATAGGGTTCTGAAGCGTGGGTCCTTGGGCTTTGTAGGGTTTATAAGGGGTAGAAGGGTTCCGCAAGTTCAGGGCCTAGACCATGTAACTGCCCTGAGACTAAAGCTTCAGGGTCCTTAAGGGAGGGGCTTCATGGCAGGGTAGGTATGTAGGGATCTTTCGGGAAGTTTAGGGAGCCTTAGGGAGTAGCGGGAAGTCCGAGGGAGCCTTGGGTTGCATACCCCCCACTTGAACCCCCCTCCCTTATAGGACGCTACAAGTCACAGGTGGTATGGCAAGCCCTGCATGCCGAACTACCAAGAGGTGATCTACTCCCCAGAGCATGGAGACGCGCAGGCGGTTTAGGGTTTAGGGCTTAGGGCTTATGGCTGAGGGTTTAGTTAGGTCTGGTCCAGAGCTTTAGCAATATAACTGCCTAAATCACCGGGAGACTGTTCTATTTTAGCGCTCCTCTTGCTGCTTTCTTTTTTTCTTGAAGCTGCAATCGAAGCCCGGACTTACACACAAATCGAAACGCCTCCAGACGGAACAACCAAATACACCAGCACATAGCATACCCAAAAGCACAACAAGTCAACGCGTGTGGGAGACCGCATACTGCAAGGCAACCCCCACCTAGAAACCCTAAACCATGCTAAACTGGGATGTGCCCCCCTCATACGAGCAGTCCTTAGTAGGGATTACAACAGGGGCCAAATCCTAGACCTAAACCTGAAGGCTCGGTGTGCAGAGGGTTTCGATGGGGGGTCCGTTTTTTGGGGTTGAGGCCCTTTTAGAGGGTTTGAGTCTGAGCTTACTTTAGAACCCAATTAGGCCACCTCCGACTCCTCTTACGGGTTTTAGGGGTTTGAGGGTTTAGGGGGTTTCGGGTTAAGGGGTTTGGGTAGCACCTAAACCCTCGGCCCTAAACCCCAGAAGCTTCCCTAATCCCAAATCAACCCCATGTCATGCTTTGGGCTTAGGTTCGAGGGTGGCCTCGAAAGCAAGCAAGTCCCCGAACCCTGAAAGGGTCCACAACATACATACTCTTGTTTTTTACTCTTGCTATTTTGACTTTGATTATTCTTGCTCGTATTGTTATTTACGTTTATGGTAATTACTACCATCACCATTACAGAGTCCTGGTGTAAGGGTTTGGGGGTTTAGGGTTTCCAACCTTTAGGGCTTGGGGCTCCGCACTGCAAAGCCTCAAACCTCGGTTAAAGATGTGGCAGCAGGTTATAGGACTATGTGGACGAAGCGCAGTGGAAAATATTCTCGACCTACATCCTACACCCCAAAAGCTGAGGGGACTATACATGGTATTCCGCGCAAAGAACGAGTGGGTAATAATGCGGGCTGCAGACCTTTCTTTTCAGCCAACGCCAACAATCCGCACCCGCATGTTCGCATGAGTTGCTGTGCATCGTGTATATGCGCAGCGCCACCGAACAGAACCCCGCGACACGTGTCCACGTTCCTGCTTGTTCTTGTAGCCCGTAACGGGTCAAGCTTGTCCTTGCATGGTTTTTGTCCGAGCCCCCACTTCGTATACTGTTAAGTGCAAAACCCCTTTATGGCCTGATCGTCTTTACAAAGCAAGTTGCGTGGGTTCAAAGTAAAAGAATATATTGGGGGGGAGCTCAGGGTGCAGATGTAACGTGCTGCGCAAAGATCCGTTAGTAGCCATCATAGGCTTGACCAAGTTGCAGCGCAATGCTGCCGTAGCACACAATCCCTTATAAGAACCCAAGACCTACTTGTTCTCAGGCTACCTAAGAATCCCATAAAGGGTTTCATACTAATGACCGTCCTGCAAAAAGCCTAAGAATCCTACAAGGGGTATGATACTATTGACCTTCAAAAAGTGTAGGGTTGAAAAAGGGGCTGTGCACGTACCGCAGACACGGGTGCGCCGGTTCGGAGTAGTGGAGCTACGTCAAGCCTGCCCCGCTTCTGGGTTTGGGGTTTAGGGTTTAGGGTTTTCCTTTCGCGGAACCCCAAACCGATTCACTCTAATACGCTTCGACCCAGAAGCGTGTTTAATGATACCGTCGTCAGGGGCTTCAAGTTTATCTCGGGAATTGTCTGTAGCCACACCATGCTATCGCCAGTGCATGTCAGTCCATGACGCCCCTTTATCATTATGTTGACCACCTTGCCAGACCTTCCGCGATCCGGTCAGAGTCGAGTGGCTGCTGCCGGACATGGATAGTCTTGATCGCATCTACGGCCAGGCACGGATGAGCTGGGAGTCGTTTAGGGTTGTGGCTGCCCTAGCTAGTTTTCGAGTGTATTCGTGCCAGGGCGAGTTATTGTTGATTTGCTTGGCTGTCAGGGAGGTGGCAACTGGTCCATGGCCAAGAAGCTATTGTCTTGTTTTTGCCTGCTTGCTTTTGCACACCTTGAACCCTAAACCCCAAGTTCCTAGACTTTCTATCGGAAACCCCTGCTGCAGGTCCTGGACATGCAAGATCCTTGGCCTGATGTCGAGGGATGTTTCGTAAAATCAAATCACCAGCATCAGCGATATCGCTATCATTCTCATCGTCACAACTGAGTCATAACCACCACCAACATCTTCTTTGCTGCAGCAGCAGCAGCAGCAGCAATAGCACGAACAGCAAACCTCCTAATCATCAGAACAGAATCCGGGAAGTAATATTATGCAAATGCGTAGATTGACTATGACCTTGACGCCATCAGGAACCCAAAGCAAAAAAGCAACTCGCCAAATCCAGCAAGCAGTAGCTCGTAGTGTGCCGCGTATCACCCATTCTAAAATCCATAATCTCCTCTGCAATTCTCAAGTTGATGGCAGCCCACCCTGATCCCGAACATGAACTGGCCCCAAAAGCTGATCCGGCAGTTGCCCCTTTTCAAATCGCTGCCGACTTCGGCGGGGGAAGGGGGAGAGGGGGAGCCTGAAGCCTAGTAGCCCTAAACTTGAAACCTGAAGCCTTAACCATTCTGATGACCCAACCCCCTCTGTGAAACTTGAGGCCCCCAAAACCGTCACAACCTCAAGCCCTAAACCCTCCTCCGAACCCTGACTCTCAGCCTTAAACCCCAAAGGCTGAACCCCTAAACCCTAATCCCGAATCCCTACACCCGAACCCAAAACACTAAACCCTAAACCTAACAAACTCCACTGATACTAAAAAACATCCGTTGGGAGTTGCCGTTTAGTATTAATTAGGGGGAAGGGGATGCATCGCCAAAACCCAGCAGTCTTTTTCTCAGGATGGCTGCTCGCAAATGGATGTCAAGAATCGGAGTGATCCCCGGCCACTTCTTTGGGACTTTTTCCTCAGGTAGGAAGCTCTAACAGCGTTTGCAGGACCCTAGGGTTTTATTCCCTTATGGTCCCTATGTAACTATACGGTAATAACCCCCAAAACCCCATTATATTCATGAAGGCCCCTGTATAGCATAAGAACTCATGCGGTAGTCGGGTTTCTGGGCCCCGAGAGACCATGCTCAAAAGGAGGCTGGATGCATCCTGAGTGTCAGGATTACATTGATGAGGGTTGGTGTTTAGGGTTCAGGGTTCAGGGTTCAGGGTTTAGGGTTTAGGGTTTAGGTTTTTTTTGGTTTAGGGTTTAGGGTTTAGGGTTCAAGGATTTGGTTTTTGCAGGTCTTTAAGTTCAATATCCAAGGCCTCATGGTTAGTGGCTTGGGTTTTCGGTTGCCGGCTGAAGATTTAGGCCCGAACCCCTAACTTAGGGCCTTAGGGTTAGGGTTGATAGTTGATCGGGTTGTAAACCCGAAGTGCTTGGCTACAGTGAGTGCTGAGCATGTAGAAGAGGGCTCTAAGCCCCTGATTGCAAAACCCCAAAGCCCCATAATCGTAAAGCAAGCCCTGTTAACCCTGAACCATAAACCTTAAATGATCTCAATCCTGCGAGCCGGAAGGGCTTGCAGAAACCCTGAAACCCTGCCGTGTTAAAACACTAAACCCCCACAAGCCCTATAAACCCTCAAGGTGTATAACCCTATATCCCTACAAGCCCTATAAACCCCATAAGCCCTATCTGGTAACACCCTACCAACACTCTAAACCCTATAACCGTAGAACCCATAAACCTTCAAATCCTATGACCTAGACCCTTCATACCTAGGCGTAAGCCACAAAGAACAACAAGAACAACCTGGACTCCTATCCCCCTACGAACCTTTCAGCCCTATACACCCATTGTACCTTAAGCCCGAAGCCCTAAAATCCTATAACCCTAGAAGCGCTCCAATCCAATCAGCCTTAAAACCGAAGCCCTAAGACCCAAGCCACAAAGCACACAGAAGTAGAGAAGCCCGAAAACCCAAAACCCTAAAACTCTAAAACCCTATAAGCGCTCTAAGTCCTGTAAACCTTAAAGCCTAAACCTTAAGCCAGAAGGCCAAAAGAAATCTAATCTATAAACCCTAAACCCCAAAACCCTAAACCCTAAACCCTAAACTCTAAACCCCCAAGGAGTGCTTGTGCCGCTTTTGCCAATCCTCGACACCGCCGACTCCGTGGCTCCAGGAGGATACCAACCGAGTTGAGGCGAGTCTGTCGCCTTTAAAAGGGCCTTTTAGAGGAGCTAGGCTTTAGGGTTTAGGGTTTACGGTTTAGGGGGTTGGGGGTTTAGGGTTTAGGGTTTGGGTTTAGGCCCGAGGGTTTAGGGTTTAGGGTTTAGGGTTCAGCATCTCTGATCCAAGCATTCACCAAGAGTGTTTGGCATCACCCCACCCACCTAGAATCCCTCTCATTTGGCAACCTTATCTACCATTTCAATTCTTACTGCCTTAAGTCCCCTGAACCCTACATCCTAAATCCTGAAAGCTCCAGAGAGGCCCCCTGAATCCTAAATCCTAAACGCCCCAGAAAGGCCTTTAAACCCTAATGCCTAAGTCTTAAAAGCTGCAGAGAGGGCCGCCCCGAACTCCAAATCTTAAATCTGAAAAGCCCAGAGAGGGCCCTTCCTAAGTCCTACAGGCACTCCCCCAAAGCACCACCGCAGCCCCAAATAGCATGAAAAAACCACGAAAAAGCTTCAAGAAAAAAGGGCCTGGTATTTGCCTGCTCCCGCAATGAAGAATGCTGATTTTTAGTACTGAAATCGACGACAGTTTCGGTGCCCCTCCATTTTACCCCAAAGAACCAGCCCCAAAGAGCATTAAAAACACCAAAAGCTTCAAAAAGCTTCCAAAAGCTCCCCAAAAGGGGGGAGCCTTGTATTTGCCTGCTCCCGCAATAAAAAATGCTGCTTTTTAGTACCGGAATCGACGGTTTCGGGACCCCTCCATTTTACCCCAAAACACCACCACAGCCCCGAATAGCTTGAAAAAGCCCCCAAAAGACTTTAAAAACCGGGTGTCCCGAGGGCTCCCCGAGACAGCTGTCCTGGGGGCGTCCCGGGGGGGCCCCGGGACATTTGTTTCGGGAGGGACCTGGGACCGGGACAACCTGTTTGGGGGCCCCGGACAACCCGTCCCGGACAACCCGTCCCGGGGGGGCCCCGGGACAGCTCATATTAGATTAGGATTTAGGATTTAGGATTTAGGTTTTAGGATTTAGGATTTAGGATTTAGGATTTGGGATTTGGGATTTGGGATTTGGGAGTTGGGAGTTGGGATTTGGGATTTGGGATTTGGGATTTGGGATTTGGGATTTGGGATTTGGGATTTAGGGTTTAGGGTTTAGGATTTAGGATTTAGGATTTAGGAACCACGCAAACGCAAAAAAGGTCAACGACCCCATTAAGGTTTAAATATATATATATATATATATATAGGTAGAGAGGGTTTAGGGTTTAGGGTTTAGGGTTAGGGTTTATGGTTAGGGATTGAGGGTTTTGGGTTTGGGGTCCGGGGTTTCGGTCTGTACAGGCTTTTTTCACATTACATGGGGTTACAAAGGGGTTTGGGTATCTGTGGTGCAGGTGATTAGCTGCTTTGGGTGGCAGCTTTTTGGGGCGATAGGGTTCAGGGTTTTTGAGTTTAGGGTCTAGGGTGTAGGGTTTAGGGCAAGGGAAGTTACGTGGTCCCTTTATGTGGCCACTGACTTGCTGTAAGCCCGATGGGCCTAGACTCTTAACCCCCTGAACTCTGAACTACTATCACCTTAAAATGCAACATTTTCTAGATCCCGGATTCTGACCTTCCGGGATTGGGGACTAACCCCAAAGCCTGAAACATTAACCCGTCCGGCGGAGGCATCAGGCCCGCCAAGCCGACAACACAAAGTTTCCTTTTCTTTGCGTACCTTCCCCGGGGGCTGGGAACGAAAAATTAATGTGAGGCCCGAGCCTAAAGCCCAAAAACCCAAAGCTCGAGGCACCCAAAGGGCCCAAAGCTTGGGTCTTCTCGAAGCCCGAACTACTGTCTTAACTCCAAACTCTCTCCCAAAACCCCAAAACCCAAACCCAAAACTCCAAATCCCAAACCCCTAGACCCTGAACCTCCGTAGGGAGAGGTTCCGAGGATCATTCTATGACCTGCAACAGGTGGGCATGGTCAGCTATAACGCTCACGAGGGGCTTGTGACGCAGACAGGCTGGGGAATCTTCCGTCGATGGGGCAGGGTTCATAAGGTTTAGGTTTAGGGTTTGGGGTTTAGGGTTCAGGGTAGGGCTTAAAGTGTAGGGTCAAGGTGCTAATTCTCAACCTGGTCGAGCCCCCGGCAAATCCCCACACAAGAAGTCGCGCAAAGCCCGAAGCCTCAAACTCCTAAACAGTGATGCAAGCCCCAAGCTTCAAGCTCCAAAACCCTTAACCGACAGGCTCCAAACAAAACTTTACAGAAGCCCGAAGCCCCAACAAGAAGTCGGGCATGTCCGAAGCTTCAACTTCCGAATAACCCGAATCCTGCAAGCCCGAAACCTGAACCTTAAGCTCCCTTCATCCAGCCCGAAGCCTGAAACTCCAAAACCATGAGCTCCAAAGACCCTTCCGTGACATTGCGCATGCATACAGACGCGTACGGCACAGACGCGTACGGAGCTCTGGCAAAGCTGTGCCAAGCTGCCAACAAGTGTTGCTGACTAAAGTTTCGGAAACCCTAAACCCCAAGCCCTAAACCCTATAAACCCTAAACCCTAAACCTTGGCCACACAACTCGCACACATCGGCTTATCGACCCCTGCGAACTCTTTGGTCTTCAGGGCTACAAGGCTGCTAGGAAGCCCCCTCCAAGGCCTTAGATTAGAGACCTTTCTTGGAACCCTGAAGCCCCAAACGAACCCTAAACCCTAAACCCCTATAGACCCTAAACCCTAAACCCCGCAGAGGCCAGAACAGCCGTAGACAAGAGCGAAGCCGACACCCTCCATCAGGTTGTATAGGGCTTTAGGGTCTATGGTTGCAGGGTTTAGATCTTTAGGCTTAGGGTTTAAGGTTTTAGGGTTTATAATTAGGGGTTTAGGGCTTTAGGGACCCTAAACCGTAAACTGCAAAACGCTGAAGCCTAAAGCCCTATAGTGCCGCTTAAACATCCCTGGGCCAGACATATCGCAAGATCGGAACCCCAAGCCCCCTACAATGGCCACAATGGGCAGCACTTTGTTGTGTGTGTGGTTCTTTTGGATTGAAGAGCCTACTAGGGGTTCAGGAGGTTGTGCAGTGTATAGGTTTAGGGTTTTTGGGTTTGGGGTCTTGTGGCTCTTGAAGGACAGCGTGCGCGCCGCATCCTCCCTATGGGGTCTGTTGGCATGCGCGTCGTTGGCCCAAGAGGTTCGGTGTAAAGCCGGGAAGAGCCAAGCCCGAAAGCTTCGAAGCCATGGTGGCCCTTGGTCTTACAGCAGTCCTATTGGGCCTTGGCTTGGGCCAGGTTTGGGCGCGGTGCGATGAGTGGAACTCGCTTGAGTATGTGGACTATGATGTCAGTGTCAATTCTAAACTTTGGTTTGACACGAGTGTCTCATGCAGCGGCGCCGGGTACAACATAGCGACCTCGCTTGAGATCACACATGTTCAGTTCAGCGTCTGTGCCACCGACTACAACTACTGGACGGGTGCTTCATCTTTCGGCGTCTACACGCAGGCGTTTGAGGACTGCGCAGTGAGCACCATACTCCGCAACCAAACCTGCAAACCTGTGGCCCTGGACCCCGAGAAAACGAATCCCAAAGCCCTGCGAGGACAGCGACTTTGGTCGCATAGAAGCCTTGTCGTCAAGTGGGACCTTGCGGCACGATGGCAATTGCGCTAACTCACCGGGGTTTAAAGACCTGTGGTATCGAGTGTCTGAAGAGCCCACCTGGATGATGGGGGCCACTTGGCAAGGAGTTGCCTTTAGTAACCAAGTTACTAACGAAGGGAAATGTGCCTAATATTTTAGGGTCATATAGGGGGCTTCCTTAGATCCACTATTGTGCTGATCCCTTTATTTGGGTTCCCAATAGAAAACAGAGTGTCCCTGTTTTGATTCGCGTATCCTCCCATATACTTTTTTTAGGGTGCATTGGTTGCTCTAGGCATGGTTGCTGGTCTCAGGGTCCACGATTTCAGGCGCCCTCGCTGTGATAGGTTCCTCGCGGTTCCTCGGGGCTTCTTCGGACTCCTTAAAGTATCGTTCACTTTGCGTCGGAGGGTGCGGGATGCCATGATATGGCCTAGCCTCTACGGCACAAGGAGGGCTAGCAACGACAAAGGACCCTTCTAGGGTTCCATGAAGGATCCTCGCTGAGAGTGGCGACTTTATACTCTAATTACTTTTGCAGCGTGTAACCTTTAACCTTTTGGTTGTCCAAAACCCAGTATACACCAAAAAGTTAACCATGAAGAGCCCGGGAGAATTGACACCTATGGGGGTTCGGTATTTAGTTTAGCATCAAAAAAAGCGACAACATGTGCCAAAAACAGGTGAAGATCGAATGCTGGAACCGGTTCACCGCGTGTGAGCTGGCGTACATAATCAGGCGGGGCTCCTCCTTGAAGCCCGAAGCCCTGAATTCTCAACCCAAACCCTAACCCTACACTCGAAACCCACCCAACCCCAAACCCTAAACCCAAGCCCTAAACCTCGGGAGGTACGGGTGCTCCGGGGCCCTTAAAGGAAGGATCCTGTTGCTAAGGGTCCGAGTACACAAGTATGGAAAACATACTTAGCCAAAACCGCAATAGAAAAAATAGGCCCCGAAGTACCCACAATATGGGACCTACCGTAGACCGTAGACCGTAGAACCCAACATCCAAGGCCTTCCGGCCTCAGGAAACCCTAAAAACCGAAACGCAAAACCCTAAACCCCACTCTAGCCCCTATATAAACCCCAAACCCTATAGACCCCAAAGCCAAGTTCGGTGGTGTTCCCTGAACGATTGAATCTCACAAGGTCGCGAATTTCGGTTTTCGAGCAGTCCGCAGGTTCTGGGGACCAGAGAAGACGACCACCACGAAGGGCACAACAACGGAGACCTGTGTTTATTTATGTTTAGTTTTTTTTTTTGGGGGGGGGGGAGGGGGTTGGGGTTTAGGTTAGAGTTTAGGTGGGTTTGGGGGGGGGGGGGGGGGTCCTGAAAGCTTTTGGAATTGGGGTTTACGGTTCATGTCGGCTTTCAGGCTTTAGGATTTGATGGCTTCGGGTTTTGGCTTTGGAGCCCTAAACCCTAAACCCTAACCCTAAACCCGAAACCCGAAACCCGAAACCCTAAACCCGAAACCCTAAACCCTAAACCCTAAACCCGGAATCTGGAAGTGGTCTCGGGAGAAGGGGCGCTGGCTTGGGGCCTGTGGGTCTGCGGGCTCCAGCATCCGAAACTCTTTCTAACGCCTAAACCTAATTAAACCCTCAAACTTGCCAATTGAACCTCAGGCTGCAGTTTGGGGTTTAGGGTTTAGGGTTTCACTGAAATATACAGGCTGCTGCAAACTTGAGTCGGTTTTTGATCGGTTTCCACTGCTCCACGCCCAGTCCGAAAATCCAGTAAGGAGAGGACAACTACGCTGCGTCTGCAGCAGACAAACTCCAACCCAACGGGGGAGGATGCTCCTACAACCACCACTGCTGCAGTATCTTGGCACGAATGTTCAGGGTTTATTCACAGCTTACGGTACAAGGGTGGACTCTTTGAGAGAAGTCACATACGATCTTACAGCTGTTGGAGGGGGGGGGGGGTTGAAAAAGAGTATGAATTATCAAAACAGTTTCTACAATGCTTCTGCCACCATCTGCTGTACCTAATTGCTGTAGGTGTATCTGGAAGGCGAGCTTTCTTGTTTGCAACCCACCATTTAACCATGGTCCCTATCAAACTGAAGTCTGAAGCCTACCAGCCGCCAGCGAGGCGTCCGCACGTCCTGAGACAAACGAGACAAGCTCTTCAAGCAGCCGATATGTCTCGTACGCCGAAGCGGGTAGCACAGATGGCAGTGGATCAACAACGACACTGCAAGGCTTTGATGATTTTGGTATGATCAATGGCGGCGACGGCCTACAGATTGACCCAGTCCTTGTCGTGGCCTCTTTGTTGCTCTGCTTCCGAACTTTCCTTACATCATTGTGAGAGGATTTTCCGCAGAGATCGTAAACGTTAGGTTTTTGGCCAAAGGTTTACATAGCATCCAGGGTCCAAGCACCGTATTTGGGTGCCTGGGCTCCTGGACTACCTGGACTTTTTGGATACCTTGGACTTGGTCATAGTTGGGTATCAGTTTGCATTTTTAAGGGTACTTAAACCCAAGAAGGAATATAAATTTCAATCTTCAATACGAACCCAACCATGAACTAGTTGAACTGACCCCGAAAGGGGAAGCCTTGCCGCGGAAGTGCCAGACAGGGACTTGCTGAGCTTGTCCCGCCGCTCTTGTATTTCAAAGACACCTCAGCCCTCGCAGTACACTAAAAGGTTTCAGTGCAATGCCCCTCCAGGGCCCTAATCTGCAGCGTTCTAGAGCTGTTAAGGCCTAGGAAATCTCCAAAGCCGTTCTAAACAATGGCCCTTTGCGGGTACTGTACCCGATCCAAGAAGGGCAAGATAAACCTGGAATCTTGGAAGGGACATCTCAATCACATGAACCGAAGCCCGCCGAATGGATTGACCACAGAAGCCCAAGGAAGCAAATGCTCTAGTACCACAGATAGGTACTACTATGGTTTAGGTAGCATTATACTATGGCACACTCAGTATTCCTTTTAGGGGCCTCCGGCTCAGGCCGCCGACCCAAGAGGCCCGAAACCTCTCAACCCTCAAAGCCGGAAATTGTTGTTACCCTAAAGCCTAAACGCTAAACTCTACACCCTAAACCCTAAACCCTAAACCCCTAAACCAGGGTTCGGGGGTTTGAGGCGTGTTGTGGGAATGGGGGGGTAGAGGCTTCGAACTGTTGGAGTGGTTGGCGCAAGGTTGCAACACGGGCAACCCGCCGTGAAACCTCAACCCTCGTCCCTAAATCCCAAACCCCTAACCCTAAACCCTACACCCTATACCCAGAACCCTGATCCCTCATTGTCTTTAGGGTAGCCTTAGAGCTTTGGGTTCGACCTTTGGGGCAGGTTTGGCTGGGCTGTAGGGCAGTGTGGAGGGGCGGACTGGTGTGGGCTGTGTGGGGGGGGCAAAAAAGGGGGAAAAAAGGGGGGAGGGGGGGAGGAGGGGGGGGGGTGGGCGGGGGGGGGGGGGGGTGGGGGGGGGGGGTGGGGGGGGGGGTGAGGTGGGGAGGGGTGGGGGGGGTGGCGGGGGTGGGGGGTAGTAGACCTTGGCACCATGGTTGAGGGCAGCTCCAACGCTGTGCCAGTACCAGAGTCTGTTACCGTATCGTAGACCATGCCATACTAAAGCATACCGTGCTATGGGAGCGCCATTGTTCCTTAGATAAGGACACTGTTTCACACTTTCAGCCCCTACTATGCAGCAATTCTCAATCATGAACATGCGTTCTCCCTAGCGTTTAGCACATTCCTGGTTTTTGCAATGCCGCCGGTCACGTACCAGGCGCTGTTACCCTATTATAATCCCTATTAAGGACTGTTAGTATAAGGGGGAAATTCCCAAGGGAGTACCCTTTAGTGTATTTGGGGGGGATCCCTATTTTCGGGCCATACCATATATCCCTTATTGGGTTTAAGAGGACCTTCTTTGGCATCATTTTCCATATTACATACGTGCATATATGTATGCATATATATATATACATATATATATATATATTCCATGGAAGTATGCATGCTTTTTGGTTGGAACCTGTTTGAGGGAATTTAACGGGTCTGGGTTAGGATGTGCGCTCGGACACATGCCCCGCCGATGGGTTTTAGGGTTTGGGGATGCCGGTCATTGAGTGTCACACACATGGGTGGTTTGATTCGGGTGTGGCGCTGCGGCCATGTGACAGCAAGAAAAACGGCTTAGAGATCACTGTGCGAAGACACTCAGGACAGCCACATCCTGCAATGCAACCCTAATCCCTATAACCCCTAAACCCCTAAACCCTGTGCCGTTGTGCAGGTGTGAACTTTTGGTTCACGCGCGGAGGTCGCGTACTGAAGCGGATCCAGCGGCTTGTTCTAAAATGTGAGCTGGGCTGGAGTCTAGGAGCTGGAGTAGGGCCCTTATTTCCTTTTTCAGGCTTCGGGTTCCCTTATAATCTGTTGATTCCTAGGCTACTCCTGGGCCTGGGAGTTGCTGTGGGAGGACTCTCTTCTTGGTGCTTCAGCATCTGGCCCGGCATCGATATCGAGGTTGATCTACATGCCCCGCCTTTTGGGGTCTCGATTCTTGAAAATTCGCCATGAGGATGCCAACAAGGTGCCCAGAGTTTGACCTCAAGTCTCATTTCTGCTCAAGGAGGCTGGTTTGATTCTGAGGGTTCTATGGGTTTAGGGTTTCTTATGGCCACAGCTGCCACAATAGGAAGTTGCAACTACATTAGTTCTGGCAGTAGTTGGGGGTGGGAGTGCAGCCGAATATGAACCGCCCGATCCTTTTTCCGGCACACGGCGACGTGCAGCTGCCATAGGCGGCATCACCCAGGAGCCAAAAAAAAGTACCTTTCTCATCCTCTTTTTTCTGGTCCCGAGAATTGTTCATAACTGATACAAGCTACCCAAAAGAACACAGCCTACCCAGCGTACCCGTTCTAATTCACTCAGGCCCCTTGCACCCCTAGTAGGGGAATTGGATACCCTACGTAATCCCTTAAAGCGTATGTATAGATCAGATCAGGCCACCCCCTACTAAGAACCACTAAGTATTCTGCATGCTCCAAAGCCAGCCAAG